TGACCCAAATCCGGAGCGGACGCTGGACCGGCGGGGGACCCTCCAGCCTCTGGGAGCCTCCAGCCCCACCCTCCCTCTGGCCCCACTCTCCCTGGGCCTCACTCTCCCTCTGGGGACGCGCCTGCGACTTCACTCTGGCAGCGCCAGAGCCAGAGCCCAAGCGGGTGTCACGGCTCAGAGGGGTGCCCGGTGTGTGCTGCTCAGAGGAGCAGTGTGTTTGTGAGTGTGAATGTGTGTGTGTGTGTGTGTGTGTGTGTGTGTGTGTGTGTGGCTGTCTGTCTCACCCTCATTTGCCTCCCAGAAGCACGGAATTGGACACACACACCCAGGGCCCGTTACTGCTATCTGTGGCCTCCCCCCGGCCCACCCATCCTCTGGACCCGCAACCCCACAGGGAGTGTGACTGTGAATGTCACCCCAAAGTCACAGGGATGAAGGTAGGAGCCTGGCGGGAATAGGGGCCCCTCCCTGCCCGGAGGCCTGGCCAGTGTCTAAAGCAGGTGGATAATGCCTGGCACAGCCTCTCCCGCCAGAGGAGAGGGGATGGGGGCCAGGTACCCCCATTCCTCACTGTGCTCCTGGAACCCCACTACCTGCGAGGACCTCAGCTTTCCCTCGTGGGTTCGGGGTGCATTATCCCTGCCACTAGCCTTGACTCTCACACCTGCCAGTGCCTGAGGTCAGCAGGGCCCACTGGACGCTGAGTGAAGAGAAATGAGAGGGCTGGACTGGGGCAGGTTGGGGTGGGGGAGGGATGGACTTGACCAGGAGGTGGACACAGCTTCTTCCTTGGAGCTGAGTCCCCCTCCCGCTCACTGTAGTTCCCTTTGTGTGCACAAGAGGTAACCACCCACCCCACCTGGGGGAGGGAGCAAAGACAAGCCTCCTGGCACAGAGGAGCTGAGGACTGTGGTCACTCAGCCTTGGGGTTCTGTGGCCTCCACACCCCCACCAGCCCCATCATGGTCAGTGTCCTCAGAGTGGGTGTGGGGTGGGCCTATCCTGTAAACCATGGACAGCAGGTATGGCTCTCACTGGGGTTCCCTGCCATTTATTTTACACCCCATACCCCTTGGGAGCTGTGATGGTATTTGGACTCTTCCATGACCCCTGCATGGCTCCCTCGCACGGCTTCATCTCGGCTGCCCCTGGGAACCCGATTCTGTCACTGGGTGCCCTCCCTACCCCACCACTCTCCTTTCCTGGCACAGCCTTGCAGTTGGAGACTCCGTCTCCTGTTCTTTTACTTTTTAGTTTTTTTAAAATATATTTTTATTGATTTCAGAGAGGAAGGGAAAGGAGGGGGGGAAGAGAGAGAGAGGGGGGAGAGAGAGAGACACACATCAATGGCAAGAGAGAATCATTGATCGGCTGCCTCCTGCACGCCCCCTACTGGGGATCAAGCCCGCAACCTGGGCATGTGCCCTTGACCAGAATCGAACCCTGGATCCTTCAGTTCGCAGGCCTACACTCTATCCACTGAGCCAATCCAGTTAGGGCCGTCTCCTGTTCTTAAGTTCACGCCCCAGGCCTTGCTCAAGCTCTGCCCTGGGACCGTGCAGACGGGTCAAAGAAGGGACCACCAGCCCCCATCCAGCCTGGATTCAGCTGTCACCGGTTAAGGTGACGCAGGTGAAAGAGACTCTGAGAACGGCACACCCACAGGAGGACAGAATGGAAAACCCTTGGCTGGTTCCTTTATACTTTGCTCCGAGAAGTAATTCGATTTGATTCAATGGATCCATCCATGGAAATTACAAAAAACAAACACAGCCCTAGCCAGTTTGGCTCACTGGATAGAGCTTCGACCTGGGGACTGAAGGGTCCCTGGTTCGATTCCGGTCAAGGGCATGTACCTTGGTTGCAGGCACATCCCCAGTAGGGGGCGTGCAGGAGGCAGCTGATCGATGCTTCTCTCTCATCGATATTTCTAACTCTCTATCCCTCTCCCTTCTTCTCTGTAAAAAATCAATAAATATATTTAAAAACACACACAGATGCACACAAATGTACACAGACAATGCACAGACACACATAGATACACTGACACATGTACATGTACAAACACAGACACTTGCACACGTATAGATGCGCACACACACACACACACACACACACACACACCAGAAACTCCCTCAGGCCTCTGCCTCGTTGTCGGGCAGAGGCTGGGCTGGGCCCGGCTGGACTCGCTCGGAGGGACACTGGGGGCCTAACATGCATGCTCACTGGAGACCAGGGAACGATTCTGGGGCTTTTCCTCCCAAAGCTGGCATCCCAATGCCAATGTGTAATCCGTCAGGTGGCGACAGGAATTGCGTGGAAAAATGTGCAGCTGGGAGGGACTTGGACATCCTGGGGGTCACGAGGCCCCTGAGAGAGTGGCTCTGGAACAGAAGCTTGAACGCGAGGGAACAGGAACCCAGAGGTCTGTGGGATGCTGTTCTGAGCACTGGCACCAAAAATGCCCAGACCCTGGGTGGGGCCCAGAAGAACATGAGGGCCTTGAGGTTGGGGTTGAGGGGGAGGAAGGGGCTGGGACATTCCAAAGGGGGGCGGGCAGCACAACCCGTGCACTGGTGAGCCTCCTTCCTCTGCAACACCCCTACCTGCCTCTCCCCTCGCACCCCATCCTGCCGGGCATAGAGGGGGCCCAGGGGACCTGCCCACCCACTCAGGGCCTGGTGCCCACACCTCTCAGATTCTGCAGTGTTTCCCTCAGGATTACTCATCTGACTGCTGGGCTGGTGACCACAGGCTATTTCGGGAGCCGAGTGGGCAGCTGGGCTGCCAGGCGGGCTTGTGCTCCGGGCAGCAGGGGGAGGAGGGTTGTGGTCTTCACTGGGGCCTGTGGCTCAGCCTGGTCTGGTGGCCCAGAAAACGTGGTAGGATTTGTGGCCTCTCCCCTTGCCTGGGACGTGGCCCACAGCAGGGGGCTGATGGTAATGGGCCTGGGCAGCAGGATTTACACGAGATGGAACATAAAACCGGAGTCCTCTGTGCTGGGTTTGAGAGACGCAGGCCTGTGGGGAGAGGGGCACTGTTCTGGGGACAAAGGTGGCCTCATCCCTGAGCCGCCTGCACTGACCCTCAAGCATGTCCATCTCCTTGCTGGTCCTTGGCCCTTTCATTCCACAGCCTCAGCCACAGCGGGAGGGGGCGGGTGTCTTTGGAAAATAGAGCCTCTTTGTTCTCATTTAAGACGACAGATCAAGAAACCCCAAAACAATAAAAGATAAACATGCAAATTGACCGTACCTTCGCTACACCTTAAGCCACGCCCACCAGCCAATCAGAGCGACTGTATGCAAATTAACCCAACCAAGATGGCGGCCAGCAGCCACGGAGCTGGAGCAAGCAGGAGGCTTGGTTGCCCCAATGATGGAGGAAGCCAAGCTTCCCGCCTGCCGCACCAGGTCTGAGCTCCACTCAAAGCAACAAAGTTTCAATTATAGAAGACAAATAAACCCCAGATACCTGCTTTCAGCCGGCGTGGCCACGGAGCTGGAGTGAGGAGAAGGCTTTCCCTCCCGCCCGCCCTGGCCGGCTCTGAGCTCCTCTCAAGGCTACAAAGTTTCAATTATAGAAGGTAAATAAATCCCAGAATAAAAAAAA